TTTTTTTTTTTTTTTTTTATGGAGTTTCGCTCTTTGTTGCCCAGGCTGGAGTGCAGTGATATTCACAAGTCCAGTTATTTCTCATGACAGCCTGAACTCCCGGGCTCAGATGGTCCTCTTGGCTCAGCCTCCTGAGTAGCTGGGACTACATCGAACTTTTATTTTTCCCCCCATATCAGATGTGTAATGTGCCAACATCCTAACAAGGTTTGATGGAGGCACATCTTACACATGCGTGTGAAAACCCAATCATCATGCTTATGAACTACGAAAGATAAGAACTTTATTCTTTTATTTTTATTTTTTGAGATGGAGTCTTGAACTGTCATGCAATGGTGCAATCTCGGCTTACTGCAACCTCTGCCTCCTGGGTTCACATGATTCTCCTGCCTCAGCCTCCCAAGTAGCTGGGATTACAGGCACACACCACCATATCTGGCTAATTTTTTGTGAATTTAGTAGAGACGGGGTTTCACTATGTTGACCAGACTAGTCTCAAATTCCTGACCTCAGGTAATCCACTTTCCTCAGCCTCCCAAAGTATTGGGATTACAGGCGTGAGCCACTGCACCTGGCCGGGATCAGAACTTTTAAATGTGTTTTGTTTAGTTGTATCAGTCAGAAATCAGTCAGGAAACAAAATTACTATAGATATGTCAAGCAGTAGGGGATTTATAAAACCATTGGAAGAGCTTGAGTCTCAAAGTTCAGGGAAGGCCATCACTAGCTCCCAGTTCACCACTAGGTTCAGAGACGGAGGTACTTGTTATACCTGGCCAGGCTAACTGCTCCAGAAACTGCTCTGTTACAAATGCTTACAATATCTTACTGAAGTCGAAAAGGGAGGTAGAGGAGGAGATGTTGGAGGAGATGTCGATTCAGCAGCTTCCAAAATTAGCAAGAGATTAACTCATCTAAAAACCATATCACAGTTGGGCACGGTGACTCACGTCTGTAATCCCAGCAGTTTGGGAGGCTGAGGTGGGCAGATCACTTGAGATCAGGAGCTTGAGACTAGCCTGGCCGACATGGTGAAACCCCATCTCTACCAAAAAATACAAAAATTAGCTGGGCAAGGTGGCATGTGGGTAAAATCCCAGCTACTTGGGAGGCTGAGGCATGAGAATGGCTTGAACCCGGGACGTGGAGGTTGAAACAGAGCAAGGCTCTGTCTCAAAAAAACAAATAAATGAAGAAGAGGAAGAAGAAGAAGAAGAAGAAGAAGAAGAAGAAGAAGAAGAAGAAGAAGAAGAAGAAGAAGAAGAAGAAGAAGAAGAGGAAGAAGAAAGAGAGAGAGATAGAGGGAGAGAGAGAAAGAAAGAAAGAAAGAAAAAGAAAGAGAAAGAAAAAAGAAAGGAGAGGAAATAATTGAGAGTTGTAAAATCCTAGAACGTCAGTTAATCTCTTGCTAATTTTGGAGTGAACTATGTCCATTCTAAATTCACATATGGGAGTCCTAACCCCTAGTACCTTTAAAGACATAACTAAGATAAGGCCTTTAGGGTGGGGCCCTAATCCAATATAAGCGGTGCCCTTCTGAGAAGAGGAAGAGAGGAAGAGACCGCAGGAACGTGGGTGCAGGTGAGGGGACAGCAAGAAGACAACCATCTGCAAGCTAGGAAGAGAGACTTCAGGGAAACCAACCCCGCCAACTTCTTCATCTTAGACCTCTAGCCTCCAAAACTATGTGAAATACATTTCTGCTGTTTAAGCCACCCAGTCTGTGGTATTTTGTTACGGCAGCCCTCGTAGAGTGATATACTCCTCCCTACCCCATTTTCATGGAGGAGATGGTCATGTCCCATAGCGGTGATGGCGATTGGGGGTGTGTGGGGTGGCAGGAGTTGGGGAGGCAGGTGGATTTTGGGGGTAAACCCTGATTGCCTGCCGCTGGTTTCTTTCCACTATTTCTCACTGCTACTCTGCATTCTGGTCTGTTGACCACTCACTTCCAATGTAATGTACTAGGATGCCGTATTGTGAATTAACTTTGCAGAAGTCTGAGGCTCTCTCAGCATGCGGTGTGCCAGATAATAAGATCAACAATTATGTACCAAAATAATCCAAATTATGATTTCGCCTGGCACATCTCTTAATTCTTCTGAAGTGAGTCTTTATGATCATCAGCAATCTGCTATTTCTGAGTGAGATACATGAAATTTCAATTTCCCTTCATGCATATGTGCCGAATTTTCAGATACACATGGGTTTTCATGACCAAATTGATTAGTCTGACTAGACATCCATGAAATGAAATGTGCAAGGTCTGATTTACAGTTTTAGCCATAGGAATACATCATTAGGTATATACAACCACTGTTATTTTTTGCTCTGTTGGGATTTATTTGAAAGGCATTTCATTGTAATTTATTTGAACAAAATCCACAAAAATATACTAACTCAATAAAGAGTATAAAGGTGCACAATACGGGAGAGAAATTAGACTGAAAAAGTTAACATGATGCCCTTAGTTTAGTGGCACACTGTCTACCAGCAATTATTATTATTTTTTTTTTGAGATGGTGTCTCACTCTTCTCACAGAAGCTGGAGTGCAATGGCACAATCTTGGTTCACTGCAACCTTCACCTCCGGGTTCAAGATGTTCTTTCTCCTCAGCTCCTGAGTAGCTGGGATTACAGCCACCTGCTACCATTCCCGGCTAATTTTTGTATTTTTAGTAGAGAAGGGGATTCACCATGTTGGTCAGGCTGGTCTCGAACTCCTGACCTCATGTGGTCCACCTGGCTTGGCCTCACAAAGTGCTGGGATTACAGGCGTGAGCCATGGCACCCAGCCTTACCTACAATTCTTAATGTTCACTCTTGAACTTTTAGTCAGTTTTATACTTTTTGTCGTAGAGCAAAGGCAACAAAAATACATAGTTTTTCATGTTTTATTATTTGAAGCAAAGAATTATTTACCTGCTTGCATTTTCTTTGTCTAGCTTCATCAAGGTATACTTTATTTATTTAGAAACAGAGTCTCACTTTTTCACCCAGACTGGAGTGCAGTGTCGCCATCGCCATCACAGCTCACTGCAACCTCAACCTCCCGGTCTCCTCCCGCCTCAGCCTTCCTAGTAGCTAGGGACACAGACACCAGCCACCATACCCAGCTCAGAGCTTTAATTTAGTTACAATAAGAGGCACAGATTTTGTTTGTTTGTTTGTTTAGATGGAGTCTCGCTCTGTAGCCCAAGCCAGGGGCAGTGGTCTGATCTCAGCTCACTTCAACCTCCAAAATTCTCATCTCAGCCACTCGAGTAGCTGAGATTACAGGTGCATGCCACCATGCCTGGATAAATTTTGTATTTTTAATAGAGGTGGGGTTTCACCATGTTGGCCAAGCTGGTCTTGAACTCCTGGCCTCAGGTGACCTGCCTGCCTCAGCCTCCCAAAGTGCTGGGATTACAGGCTTGAGCCACCGAGCCTGGAAAAAGGCACAGATTTTAAGTATGCAATGCAATGTGGTTTGACAAATGTGTGTAGTTATGTAACCCCCAGAACAGTCGTGATATTGAACATTTTCATTACCTCTAAAAGTTCACTTGCATCCCTTTGGTATTACCCCACCACTACTCCAGGCTCTGGCAAAGTCTGAGCTGATTCTATCACTGTAATTTTGCCGTTTCTAAAATTTCACAGAAGTGGAATCATACAGTATGTTATCTTTTTTTTTTTTTTGGAGATGGAGTTTCATTCTTATTGCCCAGGCTAGAGTGCAATGGTTCCTTCTCGGCTCATCGCAACCTCTGCCTCCAGGGTTCAAGCGATTCTGCTGCCTCAGCCTCCCGAGTAGCTGGGATTACAGGCCACCGTGCCTGGCTAATTTTGTATTTTTAGTAGAGACGAGGTTTCTTCATGTTGATCTGGCTGGTCTGGACTTCCCAACCTCAAGTGATCTGCCTGCCTTAGCCTCCCAAAGTTCTGGGATTACAGGCGTGAGCTACTGCGCCTGGCCCATACAGTATGTTA